CATACAGACTCTCAACATCTAGAACTGTATCAATTCAGGGGATGTAATGTCAAACTTTTGTAGAGTATTTTCAAATTGAATGAATTGTGGTTTTTAATTCCCATTCATTGCTTCTCGTTCCACCTTTTTCTGCTGGGTTAAAGGGCTCTTACACAAAACAGCATCTTCTGACTGTGGGAGCAGATGTCTGTTCTCAAAACAAGGTGTATATACTTGAGTTTTTGTTTTTCTGTCCCTTTTGTTCTTTGAAAGATAACTCAGCTGCACAACACACTTAACCAGAGGGCAAATCTTGTTTCAATCTAGTCTGTTATAAAGCAGGAAGAGAAAATAAAAAATAAAAAGTGTTTTGGCTTTCATTTTGTTGCTTTTAATAGAATAGGCATGGTATTTATGGGAAATGTTTATGCTAATATTTTAGGGGTAAGTCTCATGTAAAGTGAAGAAGAAAGCTCCTCCTCAAATGGTATAATTAACTTATTAACTACAATAAGTTGTTCCTCCACGTGACTTTTCCTTTTATTTTTTAATAGCTTTTCAAGTGCATGGCTGCTTTTTACCCATGCAGCATATGCAGCATAGAGGAGAAGAAGCCATCTGTGTTGGCTGTTAGGCAAAATAAGAATTAATTACCAAAGCTACTTTTGATTTAGCAGTTTTACAAATGGATCACAGTACTCTGGCCTATGTTTTACTGCTGAAATTATTTCAAGCCTTGACTAGAATTATTCTGCTCTTATCTGCCCACAGCAAAGCACCTGAATCTATATTTAAGCACCTGCAATCTATTCTGATTTTCAGGACACACAGAATGTACTGTTCCCTCTGCTGTTCAAGGAATCTGTTCAGGCTCAGTTTCTCTGAAAATTTAGGCAGTTAAACCCAGAGAGGCTTATGCAATCACATTTGCCAGGATCAAGCTTCTGGGTCATTCCTTTGTTGTGAATGTCCCTTCTTCACCTCCACCCCCTAACATACACCAGAAAAAAAAAGAGAGAAAGCATCGTTCCTTGCAGGAAACCTTATGATTCACATGTAGTGTATCAGTAGCGTGGGACAGCTCTACCCCTAGAGACCAGGTTCCAGTGTTCCATCTGGCAAAGCTCTTCACATCAGGGTACAAGGTAAAATTCTCAAAATGGGCACTAAAAATTTCCATGTGGATGTGAATGCCAGGCTGAAACCTGCTTTTCCTGTGGCCAAATCCATGAGGAGTACTCACAGCTTCACATGGTGCCACCCCACTGCCCTCTGGGACAGAGATCCTGAACTGACTCTGTTTAATGGAGAGTAACATGGGACCTGGAAAACATGTGGCCTTCTGGAGAGCAACAAATCAAACCTTTTGGACTCAAGCAGCAAAGTGCTTGTGCCCACTGTACAAGCTGGTCATTAGAAGCTGTTACTGTGTCCCATCTACTCCCAGCAGCTTCCCAGCAGCAGCAGGGTCTTCTACCAGTCCAAACTGCATTTCATCCTCAACAGTTCCTCTCTGGACAACAGGGTTGAGATCCAGTGATATTACAAGTGGTGTTTTGATGATATATTCCTATTAGAATGAGCAGGGCTAAGCTGTCTCATGTCCTTGGGCTCCTTGGAATATTACCCAGATGAGTAACAACCTCTTTGGCCAATTTTCTTGGATGCTGCAGTTTTATCCCATGACACTGTACATGCCACATCTCTGAGCTGTCCAGAGGTTTAGGTGGTATTTGTACATAGATAGAAGCCTTGGGGCCAGGGATGACCAACAGTCCAGAAAGTCCATTTGATAAGTGAGGGCTGATAACTTCATCCTACCCAAGTGGGCTCCTGAGATGGGAGAGGTGCTGCTGTACAAGTGATCAGCACTGAAGAGGGAGGCTTTCAGAGTCTTCTTTTTTGTGTTTGTGCAGCAGAAGGAGCTTCTTTAATCCTCCTATTGCTATGGGCTTGTTACAAGATAGTGTAATATAAAAGTGTCTGTGAGTTTTAATGAATTTGTAAGTCATAGCACAAAAAGGGTGTCTTGGGGAGGAGATCATTGTCACTGCTGGAAACAGAAGTGGGAAGATGATTTTCCCTCTGAGTGGTGACATTTTCAAATGCAGAATCCCAGTTTCATCTCATGTTCCTCATCTATTTAGGTATTTATTTTTGCATCTGAGAGCCATAATACCCAGCAGATTGCTGCTGGAGGATTATCCAAATAGCTTCTCCTTCTAACACAGGCTGAAGAGTCGTACAAGTTGAAGAATCCTGGAAATGTGGATCCTCTCTCCTCATGATTATTGTTCCTGGCAGCAGATTGTTAAATGCATACCACCACTTGCTAAACATGGAGTAACCTGTGTTCAGCAGACAGCACCTGGGCCCAGCTGTTCTGTAAGCAAAGCCCTACAATCTAGGATTCCTACAAAGTCCTAAAATTCCGTCGGGTTTTCTGCAAAAGACACGATTCGGGAGAACAAGTGCCAAATCCATTTAAAAGTAGCAGTTGTGGAGCTGCTCTACTCAGTATCCAATGGGTATTGCCTGAACAGTGCCATCTCAGTTATCCTGGCTGCTGCCAAGGAACCTGTGGCTGGCACTACTGGTGATCCAGCTTGGAAGCTTGGATGGCTGAAAGGTTGGGTGAGCTCAGGCGTTGGGAGAGACCGGAGATGATGGGGCAGTCAAAGTGTGGCCAGCACTGAGTGACTACACAGCCAGTGAGTCCTGCTCTGGGCGTGTCAGTAGCAGATGACATCACCTGGAATCCCCAATGGATAAATGTGAGGTGCCTCATTGGAGATGAATGGATTGTGCTCCACTGAAACCTTCAAGAAACTTGCAGGCAGACCATGCTTTTGTTTCCCTCACATACACCTCTACAGAAAGAAATTCTCTTGTGTGAAAGACCTCATGGTGCTCTGTTCTCCATGCAGACATGACATTTCAGGGTCTCTTCACAGCAGGGACCTGAATGCTGCACTCTTGCTTCAGGGTTTTGCTGACATTTATGAGCCGATTGTCCTTCCCTGACCTGCATGAGGGAACCTGGCTGACCAGGCTATGCTAGCAAAGCCATCACTCCCCAGAAAGTAAAAGCTGCACACATTCAAGTGAAGCACTCTTGTACCTGGTTGTGAAAGTCCTTTGAGTCATGTTATCTCAGGTCCAAAAGAGTGAGCAAGGAATTAGCAGTGTATTAAGTAATAACCTTACCTAGTGTTATTAACCCATCTCATCCCTTTCTGTTCCTAAGTGGATTCATGATCATCTTCCAGCATGGATGGATTTTGAACCCTTGGAAACAACAAATTCTAGTTGTCTCTTTTTTTGCTCTTCCTCAGACTTCTCTTACATTTCACAAACTTTTAGCAGGAGAGGAATATCTCAGCCCAGATCATGTCATGGTTATTGTGAGCATTTATTCAGGACTGTCCAGCCTTAGCTTGGGTGGGTTTAATCTCAGGAGCCACCACTCAGACCAGCAAACCCTTCACCACCACCCCATGTGCTGTCAGGGGAGGTCAGCCTCGATCCCTGCCTATGCCTGGCCAAAGGCAGTTTGCTTCACTGGCTGAGCCCAAGCCCTCTCCATGCCACATCCCTGTGACAACTGGGACAGGGACCATTATGTTCCACAAAGCCCTTTTTCTCCCATCCAAAGCTATTCCTAAATTCCTCAGTGTCTGCAGATATTGTCTAGCACAGTCTGTCCCATGCCAGCCTGTACCTGACCTGGTGACCAGCACCACAGCCTTTCGATCAGTTCCAAGGGAAATGGCTGCAGAGACAAAACCCAAAATCCTGGCAGTAGCACATCTGCCCTTCATCACAAGAATCCAGGAATTCTGCCTAGGGACAGATGAGTCCAAGCACCTGGCAGGCAGCTGAGCAGATGAGTCATTTGAGGAGCTGGGGCTGACAAGTGATATGTGCATATTTAATGTGTCCCAGGATTCCTGTCTGCTTTCAAATTGCTCAGGGATGTTTGTTGAGGCTCTGGGGATGTTGGAGCTTCACAGGCACACTTGAGACTCCTGAAAGGAGGCGTTTGACTCTGATACTTATCTCAGCACTTTCTGCTTCATAAATATCTCAGGCCTTAAAGTCTCCAGGCTGGGAGGCACTCAGATGGATGAGGACCTGGGGAATAGTTCAGTGTCTTGGAGAGAAACAAAAATATCTTTCTGGCAGTGAATGATCTCCCTGTCTCCTTTCTAAACTGCTTCCAGAGTTACTGAAGACAGTTGTCACAGCATAATCACGAGCTTTATTTCCTTGGGTAAACCAGATTAAAAAGGGAGAGAAATGAACAGAAAACACAACAAGACCTTTGAGATTCTTTGTAAATTGTGCTTGAGATGAGTCTGTGAGTTGATCTTTCAAAAATAGTGTTTTCTGTTCCACAGGAATCTATAGGAGCTTCATGGTGTAGAGGAGATAAACAGGAAGCACTCCCAAAGCAGAAAAGCTGAACTCCTCAGGCATGTGTTTGAAGTATACTTCCCTTTTGCAATTCATAGTGAAAAAATTACTTGGTGGAACTCATTGCCTCAGGACTATGGGGAGGACACAAATAAAAGCAGACTTCTGTGCTTCATTTATTTATGGAAATTATTTACACCAAGTATTGTCTAACCAAGGAAGGTTAACACTTTCTCTCTGGGTACCTGTTCACTGACAGCATCATTCCCTTGGATTTTGTTTTCCTGTCTACTTTGAACCTCCCAAGCTGCAAATTGTTGCTCTTGGTCACCATCTCACAATATTCCACTGCTGAGAAGAGCTGGACTTTGTCGTCCTTGTACCTCAGCTGGAAGTAGCTGTAGGCTGCTATCAGTTCATGCCTTAGACCCTGCTGTTGAAACAGCTTTTCCATAATTCCCAACCTTCCCAGATCCCAGAGGGTGCTGTACATTGAGTCCAGCCAGGCTTCACTCCTCAGGAAAGCAGAAGCTTCTTGACTCATGACACACAAAAAATTTGTGCCTGCAGTTCTGATTTATGTGAAAAGGCAGGAACACGGATTCCAGAATTTACAGAAAATAGCGAGTGAAGCTCACCACCATGAATTGCTGGGAAAATGCCTTCAGGGGAATTCTGGTGCAGAGCCTGCAGGGGGAGGATGCTGGCCAGCAGCACTGGCCTCAGTTAAGCTGCTCTCTGAGATGCAAGCTGGGGTCTCAGCGTGGCACTGAGATCCATCAGTGCTGCAGCTCCCAGGGGAAAACCACTCTTCAAGTTACCCTTCTTTATTAGGCCTGTTTAATACAGAGGGATCAGCGAAGAATCAAGTACAGCAGGCTTATTAATGTTTCTTTAATTAGTAACAGAACAAATATGTTTGGACTTTGATTATTTTACACAGAGAATGTTGGAATGATGCATCAGGTGGTTTTGTGTCCATTTTGCTCTGTTTTATTACCATGTAAAAATATTCATCTGGTACACAAGATTTAAAAAAATATTTTCACAACAAAATAAGTGCTTTGAGCACTAAAAATTCACTTGTACGCTTTAATGTTGGCCTAAACATTTACATTTTCTAGCCACATCCCCTCCCTACCCCAAAAGTGGGCAAACCCCAGACTATAAATATTATCTGTGTCAGATATAGAAAACTTTCCCAGAAAAAGAAGACGAAACACAAACATAACAATTCTGTGGCTCAGACAAATTGATTTTCACTCCCCCAAAACAACAAAAAAGGAAAAATAGAAATATTTTTGTCAAAATTAAAATGGCACAGGGAACACAACACTAATTATCAGACACTTCAAGCAGAAGGGGGGGAAATGTTGAGACATTATACCTTTCAGGGGAGTAATGGCACAGACCAGGAAGCAATAGTATGCTTGCAGATGGTCAAAAAGATTTAAGAATCACAGAATATTGGGTTGGAAGGGAACCTCAAGGACAGAGTAGAGGAGATGTCTCTTATGAGTCCTTCTTCACCTTCTGTAAGGTTGGGTTATGGAAAACCAACAGTTTCTACAACCAGCATTTGTCCATCTTGAGCCAAGACAACACCTCAGGAAATGCTGATGTGTTGAAAATGGTTTTTTTCTGGCAAGAGTTTCTTTTCACCAGTTTTTGAGACTTTCTCAGGTAGTGTGTGCTGATCACACTGAACAGTGACCTAGTTCAGCTCCTTGGTCATGGGGCAACTTGCCATTAGTCCAAGCAGTATTAGATGCATCTTAGAACATCATCAAGTCCCCTCTTCCAAATGTGAAAAATCCCTTAAAGGGAAAAATGGTCCCTTTGGTAAAGCATGAATTAGGGCAGAAGGAGACAGTCACAGCTCATGATTAAAACCAGCAATCAACAACTAACCCTGTGAAGGCAGTGGGATGAAATGCCACCTGCTTTGCAGGGCTGATCTCAGGTGTTTCCACAAACCCACTGCCTGTGGAAAAGGTAACACCTGGTAGCCAAGGACACACCTGCTCACAGGGCAGGAATCCATAATGAAATATTTGGAGATCAATATAGCTGAGGACAAAACAAGATATCAGATTGAGTCTTAGAAATCAGAGTGTGCAAAAGTAAACCAGACTTTCCTCATTCTCCAGTACATCAGTGGCTTTCTGAAACAGGAACCATACAACAGAGATTGGGATCCATTAAAAGAAGAAATATCTGTTCAGAGGTTCTTGGAAAACTTAGAATTCACTCTCATGGCCTGAAGAGCACTTCTGCAGTGTTCATAGGTCAGTGAGCTGGAATGCCCAGAGCAAGTCCTAGGGAAGAGGTCTCCCACCACAGGGCATCTTGTCCCACTGGACTCTGAGTGAGCCAGCTGAGTTCGTCTGCCAGAAATCTTCAGTGGCAAATTCGTTCTGTCATTTCTTTCTGCATTGAAGGGGGAGAGAAAAGAAAGAAACAGTAAGTGCAAAAGACAGGTTGGAGTAGCGTGACATGCCAGGCAGTTTGGGAGGTGTCCAAAACCAACCCAGGGAAGCAACTGTGGGAGTCTGGGGAGCCTTCTTCTGTTTCCCATGACAGCCCTCCTGGGAACTCAGCTGCCTCAGCAGCTCTGTGCTGGCACTCTCCCCGGTCTCTGTGGCACAAGGTTATTTTGGCTGTGCCCTCGCCTTGAGAGCAGTCCAAGGAAAGAGCTCTGGCTGAGATATTGAAAGATGAAGGTTCTGCTCCTTGCTCAGCTGCAAAGCAGCCAGACAAGGTGATGACACTCTCAGAGCCCTCTTTGCAGCCTTAGGAGATGGGATATGGAGCAGCTCCCTGTTGTCACTCCAGGAGCTGACCACAGCCAGAGGACCTGTGGTTTCAGCAAGGGATGCCACAGTCACACTGCAATGCAAATGAGTGCTAATAACAGGGCCACAGGAAACCTCCAGCTCTGTTTAGGATTACAGACTTTTCTTTAGCTGGAATGGCATTGTGCCAGCCATTAGGAAGGTGTCCAGCTTTCAGCTGGTGGAAGATGGTATTTGTCCTTGCCTTGAAAAGTTCAACTAGCATCTTGGAAATCCTGCAGTGAGAAAAGTGTGATTCTGGCTCATTGGGTGCATGGCTTGTGAATCTGTGTGCCCACAGGTCCCCTTGTGCACCCCAGAGGAAGGTTTGCACATTAAAAGGTACTCCCAAAATAGATTGGAAGTAGGACTGGTCCGTGGAGAGGGAAGAATGTAACTCTGAAAAAAGAAGAACTAGGAAAGGACAATGACCCTTGAGTAACCCAATAAAAGGCTCTTTAGTTATATTGCTAAGGGAGACAGAAGCAGCAAACTCTGATCTTCAGTGCTGAGAACTTTGTTTTTCAAATCCATCAGGGACAGTGGCAAAGAGAGGGTTTTCCTGTAGGAGTAACATATAAAATCACTTGAGTGCAGAACCAGGCCATCAAATGAAAAGTTGATGCTCTGCCACAAAATCACATTGCAAACAGGAAATGTTTGCAAACATCTTGGAAGGAAAAGAAGAGGGTGAGGGGACTGTGCACATCCTCTTGCAACAGCATTGCACCCACCCCACTAGGCACCCACACAACACCAGGCACAAAAGCAGGAGGGACTGCAGTGACCAGTGAGCTGATAAGTCACCAGTGAGCTCCTCCAACCAGCCCCAAATGTCCAAGGCTTTCCTCACATCCAGGAAATCCCCACAGCCCTGCTTTAGTGCGTAACCAGTGGACCCCTGCCAGCTCTGCACCACGAGCTGCCCTCGTCAAGGAAGCAAGTGCATGGCTTCTTTCTGACCCCATCTTCCTTGATTTGCTGAGAGAGTGAATCACTGCCTTTTGCTAGTTCTGCTGTACAAAGGATCTCATTCTCAGTTCCCCAGATTTGCTGCTAAGAAATCACATCCCACAGAAGCTTGACAAAAGGGAAGCTGAAGCAGGAAAGGGAGATTCAGCCAGAGGAAAGCTTAGAGGTCTGTCATGGGATTCATGGGGACTAATGAATGCGAGGTTAGGAGAGCTGTCTGGGCTGATGAGGCAGCCTGGTTGCAGGACACCCTCATACACGCCTAAAGCAGCTCAGTGCCTGAGGGCAGGAGGCCCTTCCTCCTCCCTGGTCCTTCCTCCAACCCTGTGGTTGGTTCTGCTTGAGGCTTGGATGGCAGGCAATGAGACACAGACAGACATGGGGCAATTGTGTCTCATTTCCTTGTAGTTCACAGTAGTTGCATCACAGGGAAAGAATCTGTTCACCTGAGATTTATGGAGACCCATCAGTCGTCTCATGCTGCATGTGAGTCACTGGCATTGAAAGCCTATTTAGCAAAGTCAGCCTCTGCTTTGGCTGCCAGGTGTTAATTATTTACATTAGCAAGCAGCAGTTCAAGGGGTTGGCACTACTATGGACTGTACAGCAATGCTGAAGAGGTTTGTCATGAGGAGCACTGGCAGAGGACAGGCTGATGCTGAGCTGACGTTTTCTGGAGCTGAGGGCCATTGTGGTAATATGTGTTACAACTGAATTCTACAAAATAATTAAAGTCAATACTGTTGTCATTCAAGTCTCTCCTGATTAGATCATCACCTCTCCATCCTCCTAAATCATAATTAGAGCAGATAGGCAGAAAATTGACTAAGACAAATGAAAGCAGAGGAGCAAAGTGCTTAGCACTTAGGGCAGGGGCTTGCAACCAGCTGGGACTCTTCTCAGCTCATTCTTGGATTGTATCCTCTTGGTCACTCTCTGCTGCTGGATATGGCCTTTTCTGCAACCCAGCCCTTATCACAGCATGCAAACTACTTCCTATTAATTCTTTCCCCACTGCACCATGTCCTCCCTGGGCCAGACTACACTCTACTTTGTCTGCGACAAACTTGCTTCTCTTACAAAACCAACTATGTGCATTTTCTACTTTATGAGCCCTGGGCTGTTTGGCCTCTGCTTCCCACAAATCCTGCTATTGTCAAGGGCTCTCACCTTCTGCCTGGCTAACTGCTTGCCAAGGGAGGCTGTAGGGAAACTGGGAGATCCAGTGAGGCCTCTCCAGCATGGTCTTGACAGCTGTTGTCTGCAGCTGTGTGTCCTATCAGGGCTTGCCTTCCCTCAGCCTCAGTGTAATTCACACTAGGATCTCAAGGAGAGAATGCTAAAAGAAAAACTGTGGAGAAGAGACTTTGGCTCAAATCTGACTCCTGAAAGCCATGTGGGCACAGCTGGCTGGAAACAGTTGGATGTGCAAATTGCATTAGAGCTACCAAGTCACTGTGGGGACACTGTTCTGTGTGATCCTAAGGGTATTGGAGTTCAATTCACAGACATGAAAACAGAGGCAAAGGTTAAGAAAGGATCAATATTTTCCTTGGTGCTGCTGGGAATTTCTCTCTCAGACCACCAAGGCTGATGGTCCCAGGACAGAAAACATGACTGTGTGTCTGAGGTAGGGTGGCCAAAAGAGTCCAGAGAGGGTCAGCACTGGTGTGACCAGCCCACACCACTCACCCTCCACCTCCCCATCCCAGGGCCATCCTTACCAAAGGCTCCAGCTCCCTGTGGTCAATGAGGCTGAACTCCCTGATGAAATAGTAAAAGTGCTTGTAGCAGGTGTTGACGTGAGCCTCAGCACCCATGTTGATGATGCTGTCAAAGTGGTGGATGTAGACATGGACAAAGACACGGAAGAGGCGGGTGAGGATCTTGGTGCAAACTTGCTGGAACTGCTTGGGGAAGGGAACACCTGCAAAGCAGAAGCAAATTGGAAGCCATCTGAACATTAAAAAAAACCCCAAACAAACAAACAAAAAAAAACCCCAAAAAACCACCCAGCATTTAAATGTCTCTGTCATGCTTGACAGGCAGTCATAGATGACAAGGAAGGAACCCTTGGCTAATACCAAGAGTGACACTGGGGCAGTGTGCCATTGAGCTCTTCCCACATATTCCCTCACTCTCTCCCTGCCTTTCCCCTACAAGCCTGCCCAGGCATGATGTAAGTCAAATTGTATTTACCCAGGTGCATGAACAAAGCCAAACCATCTCCCACCAGAAAAGACACCTTTCTCTGAGCCCAAAAGCATGGCTTGTACTGTTTTCTTTCCTCCTCACACCCTCAAACATCACTTCAGATGCATCAGCAGAAATGAGTGGGGTTTCTACTGTTTTCCTGATCCTTACTTCAATAAAATATCTCATTAAATCAGGAAGAGAACTGCCCATCTTAATGATGTTTGGGTTTCATTGTGCCCGTACAATCCTGAGATATCCTCATAGGATGGGACCCACCACACCTGGCTCTGTACTTTCAGCTTTGTCCCACACAAGGACACAGTGTGGGATATTTCCATCCTTTTCAAAATACACTGCTATCACAATGAAAATCTCAGGGTGGGATACCATCAGTGCCAGCAACCTTGGGGAAAATCTCTAAAGGAAACATGGCCTTGAAACACTAAACTTTTTGGGTAGGTTGTTGGGTTGGTTGGGTTTTTTTTCTGTGAGCAGGAGAATGAAAAAAACTGATATTTGTTTTCCTGAGGCTTCTTCCTCTCCCCAGAGCAATTCAATGCAAATACACAAAGAACAAAATAAAAACCTTCCTTCCCACGGTTATACCAGCCTCCTCCCTTAGCTTCTTATTAATGCAGCACATAACCTCTTGAAAATCCTTCCAAACAAACTCTGCTCAACCATGGCCAGCTCACACATTTTGTGCACAGGAAAGCATCAGCAAATCTCTTAGCTAAAAAATTTAAAATGGTAATTTTATCATTGAATCTTTCTCACCAGCCTTGCTAGACAATTAAAGCTGGATTTGGTTTTTTTCCCAAAGGCTCCTGGCAGTTTTGTTTCCCAGCAGCAGTGCCAAGCCCCTCTCCTCTGTGGGTGGCAAATGCAAAGGTTCTGTCCTTCCCACATCATGTGTGGAGCCTGTTTCAATCACCAGGGCTGGGCAGGTGTCTGGTTTGGAACTCATAAAAGAGCATTAATTTTGGTCTAAAGCAGAGTGACCCTGAGCACAGCCCTGTCTCCCTTTCCTGCGTGCACAGTGTTGGAGCAGAGGGCAGGGCTGAAGGTCTGTGCTGGTGCCACATCTGGATGTCCCAGCCACCCCTTGGAGAAGGACACAGATCTTGGCTCAGCGTCACACAGAGGTGGTTTTGAGACTGATTTGTGGCCACTGCTCTGCATAACCACGAGCACACTGCAGGCCCAGGGCTGCTCCTGCAGCAGGGACCTCAGCATGACCTGTTTCACCACCAGCTCTGACAGATCCCCTTAGGACTTTTCAGGAAAGGTGTTCACATCTGGCAAAGTACAACCAGGCTGTCCCTATGCCAACACCTTAGAGATGTGACTGCAGATCTGCTTCTGCTCAGCACCCTTGGCTACAGAGCTCTCCTTGCCTGCTAGTCTGACACAGGCAGGGATCAGAGAGCTCTCCAGGTTCCCCTGCAGGCAGGAGGGACACAGAGCTTTATCAATGGCTTCATTTGAGCTTTCTGCCCACAGCGAGGATGTGCTGAGCAAAGAAAAGCTGGAACACCAGCTGGGGACTCAGACATGCCATTAGGGTGGCCCCTGCAGACCAGCTTTGAAGAACCGCTTAAGAAACTTTTTTGGGTTTTTTTTTTTTTTTAATAAAGCTCATCACAGCAAATAATTGCTGGTGAATGCACATTTCTGGGCAGTGGCTGGGGAATACACATTGTTCTGGACAGCCTGTCTCCCTGGGACCAGCGGCAGCTGGAATCTCAGCAAGTGCCCAGGAGCAGGCAGGAGGCATTTGTTGCCTTCAGTTTGTCACCTGTCCCAGTGACCAACTGCCTCCCCAGTCAAAGCAGGCAGTGAGGGAGAAATCCGAGCTGACCGTCACTGGGAATTCATTGCCAAACTGCAAAGAGCGATAGTGAAGGAAAGCAGCAACCCTCAACCCAGTCCTGAGCTGAGAAGGAAACACTGTGCTCAGAGAGTGAACAGCAGATCAAACAGATCTCAGGCTCCCAGGGCTGACAGCACCCATGGTGCAGATCCTGCTGTCAGACAGGCCACCTCCAGACATGGCAGATGGTGACAAGTGGCTTTCCACAGCTTTTGTCCTGAGGTTAGCCAGGAATTGTCTTGTCTCATACATCTGTCACCAGCAAGTCCTCATGGATATGCTGGTAGCTGAGAGATTTAGAGAAGAGACACCTCCAGCTACATTCTGGGCTCTCCAGAAGCTGCTTTTGTATCAGGGAACAGAGATTTAGCTTAAATCACAGAATCAAAGAATAGTTTGAGTTACAAAGAATCTTTAAAGGTTACCTGATTAAAATCTCATGGTCATCAGCAACTATGGGAGTAGTTGAACTCCTAAACCTAATGATGCATGGAAAGATACCACCAGGCTGCCAGGACCTCCACGCTCACTTGTGGACTGGTCAGCCACTGTGTTTCATATGAACCAGGACCATCAGAAGCTCCGGGAGCTGAGGCTGAGCTGCCCTTCTTTGTGTCCATCACCAGGTGTCAGTGTGTGGCCGTCCCCTCCGGGCATGGCCAGGCTGTAGCGGTGGCTGCCTGTCACTGATGGATTTCCACAGGTCCCATGCCAGGACACCCCCTCACCATGGTCCTTTGGGATGGCTCGGGTCCGGCTCTGACTCTTCCTCCCCGCAGCACCCTCACTTGCCCAGGGAGGCACAGCAGGGTCCTGCTTCCCACCCCCATGCTGCAGCCATGGCTCTGTCCTGTGCCAGGACCCTCGACACAGGCCAGAGATGCTTGACTGGACCCTACATCTGGCACAGAGCTCTGTGCCAGCTGATCAAAGCGCTTCCCCTCGGGAAGGAAGCAGGGCGGATGTCTGACATGCAGATTGCCTCTGCCAGCAGTGGTGCCTCGCCGCTGATCTCCAGTGACTTGGATAGAAACCCACAGCAGCCCCAGCAGGCACTGGCCATGCTGGTGGGGAGCTGGAGAAACACCCCACCCCTTGCCCAGAGCTGAAAGAAGAGGCTCTGCAGTAAAGGCTGCATCTGAGAGCAGCAGAAGGATCTGCCATAAATGCAGCTTGCCCTGGGTCAGCGCTGCTGGGGCAGCGGATGTCCAGCAGACAACACATGTGACATCCTCTCCAGCCCGGGAGGGGACACAGCCAGGGCAGGCTGTGCCTGCTCCCTGCAGCCAGGCACACATTGCAAACAGCATGTCCCAGCCAGGGGACAGCCATGGGACAGGGATCTGTGGCCACACGTGCCTCTCCTGCCCCTGCAGGGGCTCAGCCTCCCACTGAGCTCGCTGCCATTCCCACCAGGGCTGTTCCTGCTCCTGGGAGGGGTCACTGCAGCAGTGCCTGTGGAGCGATGGGGACCCTTCCCCACGCGTGGAGGGGGCAGCTGCTGCCCCCAGGGCTCCCCTTGGGAGTGGGGCACTGGTGGCCCTTGCTTAGGGGATTTGCTCCATCTCAAAGGCGGCACATCATGGCACAAACCAGGACAGCAGCAGATGGATGAGACAGAGGGATGAGTCCGGTGGGACAAGCCCTGCATGGCTGAGGTGTCCTCTTAGCAGAAATACAGCAGGCCAGGGGAAAGTCAGGATGAACCTCCAGGTTTGACAAACCACCCCAACAGGGTGACACTGCTTGGGTTTGCATCACCCTCCCCAGCCCTGCATACCTGCAGGGACCAAAAAACATCATCCTATCTCATCCCACTGATGGTGGTCTAACTGCCCCAGGGGACAGCAGAACATCACAAAACCCACCTTATTTAAAAGCACTGAAATTACCTTTTCCCCAGCCCTGCACACCTGCAGGGACCAAAAAACATCATCCTAGCTCATCCCAATGATGGTGGTCTAACTGCCCCAGGGGGACAGCAGAACATCACAAAACCCACCTTATTTAAAAGCACTGAAATTACCTTTACATTTAGTTCCCTGGTGCTCACAATCCAGGAGCCTTGGAGAAAGCAGCAGCAGCCCAGAGTCTGGCAGGCAGCAGCCACCCTTTGACTCTTCTTGCATGATGTTTAGTTTAGATATTAGGAAGAATTTCTGCTCCAAGCCAAGGCAAAAGCTGTAAGTACAGCAGGTACAATTTCACTCCAAGCAGAGTGACTCACAGCCCTGAAATGAATTGGCACCTTTAGTTTGTCTTGGATGTTTTGCTTGAAAATCCCAAGATATGATTTAAAGCTCCAAGGAATCTGTTTCCCCACTCTGTGCTGATTGCTTCAAAACATAAGGAAACCATGTGTAAAAGGAAATGAAAATGAGAGGTAACAAAGTGCCTGTGCTTAGGCTAAGGGACTGCCAACGGGTCCTGGATCTTTCCTGCCATCTCCTATCCCCAGCACTTGTGCACCAGCCAATTTAATTTTTTCACCATGAATCAGTACTGGGAAGCTATTTTGCTTCTTGGCAATTGTATATTTTTTTTCCTCTGCAAATGCAGTAATTCAGTGAACTTCGTGATGAATTGTTGTTGTTATTTCTCAATTTCATTTTGGCCACCGTGGTGTTCAGTGATTCATTTTTCCTAAAAATAAGTGTTTAAAGCCCTGTTTAAAACTAATGGCATGATGGCAGCTGCAAGCTGGTGTGGTATTAATTTTGTAAGAAAAAAAGCAGGGGAAAAAAAACTCAACAAATTATGTTAAAAAGAGCCAGCTGAGAGAACACCAATAATTAGCCGAATTCTGAACATTTTTCTCCTGTTGTTATGGCAAGAAAGTATCAGATAATTTCGCACCAGGTTTTCTCTGTTTTTTTATAATTGCTTTGGGACTATGCTTGAATGACAGGCTTGAGTTTTGAAAAGCTTTCCAAGAACTGTTATAAAACCTCCTGTTGCCGAGGAGCCACAGGCAAACCTGGCAAGGAGCGCGCGGTGTTTCCGGCGCTGGGGCTGCTCCAAACCCTGCACCCATCTGACACCAGCGGGGCTTCAGCAGCCTGGTGCTGCTGATGGAGCACACCTGGCTGGGTGCAACCAGCAGCCTGGTGCTGGGCTGAGCAGTGCAGACACAGCCATGGAGCCTGGAGACCCCACCCAACCCACCCAGCTCTGCCAGCAGCAGCTCCCTGAGAGCAGGCAGGGCAGAACCATTACTGGGAGGAGAGGATATTTTCCAGGTGGTAATTTGTTCATGGATGTCCACTCACTGAATAAATCTACTGATATAGTTTTACCAGCTGGTGAAAGTACACCTGTGGAATCATTTATTCTTCTCCCTGCATGGGAAAAATGCTCACTCTCCATTTAAATGTATTTTTCAGGACAGCTACTTTGGTTGGAAGAGTGGAAACAAAGCACTAGCACACACCAGATGATATGGGTTGTCTGGGAAAGCTGCTGCTTTTATAGATTTATAGCCATCAGGTTGGCAGAGCTCATGCCAGGCACAAATTTGTCTCATCTTAACTGGCTGACAAACAGGTTCCCACTCCAGAGAAAGGATTAGACATTGGGATGGAGCCCTGCAGGTAGATTTCCCTGGGCATGGGGAAGACACAACATCTCTCCCAATCCTTGCTGTGGAATGCAGGGGGCTTGGCAGCCCCCCCAGACCTGCTAATAATCTCCACCATAGGGATTTTCTGCTGGTGCCATCTGAGGGCTGCAGCCCTGCTGGTTAAGTCTGCCAGGTCACAAACTGTCTGCTGGTGTCGGGCTCCCTTCCTGCCGTGTCAGATGCCAGCTGTGCCTCTGGCCTCACTGCAGAGCTGGCAAGAGCTCTGTACCATGCAGCTTGGCTAAACCAAAGGTGTTTGTCACTCTGCTCCCCTCCCACCTCTAACATGTGCTGGAGGAGCAGATGCTTCAATGTGCAAATCAGCCCAGCTCTGCTCTGGTCGCTGCAGCTGTGACTGTTTATCCCAGCCAAGGTCTCCCCTCTGTGATTCCTAAGGACCCTGTGAGCCCACAAGTCAGTAAACTACCTCTGCTCATTTCTAGCTGAGCCTGTCACCCTGGGGTGAAATATTTCCCCCTCTGACCCATGAGATACCTCTCAGCTGTCAGGAGCCTACCAAGCCCTGCTGAATCACGTGCTGCTTCAGCCTGTGTAGCTCTTGGGTGGAGGAGGATGCTGAGGTTAGCCTCCAGCAATGTTTGTGAGTTTGGGGAACACTTGCTGCTTCTAAGAAAAACGAATTTTAAAAAGAGAAAAGTCTGTTTTGTCTGTGGTCAGGTGGCCTTAGCCAGGGAAATCTGTGCTGGGAAAAATTTAGTGCACATGGTAAAGAGGGGCCAGGAGGGGAGGCTGAGATGCACACAGCTCATAAACACCCACTGAGACAGTGGGCAGCTGTGCCCAGGAACCTCTCCAGCACAAGCAAGAGTGAAACAAACCTTCAAGCTAAATCCCATCTCTGCTGCTAACATCCAAGAGTCTCACCACAGCTCCAAAGCATGACATTTGTAATTTCCCCTCATCAAGCTCCTTTCCTCTCCTTAAAACAACTCTGTGTCCTCTCAGTGCCCTATTCCCCTTGTCCTGGGTCATTTCCCAAGGGCTTGCTCTTTAGGAGAGAGGCTAAGCACCTCTGTTTGGTCACCCTGGCCACTGTCCCTGAGCCCCACATCCTGGCCAGCCTCCTCTGTCATCCAGTGCATTTCTCTTCAACCAAACACTCCATCTTCTGAAATGCCAGAGCTGCCAAGCGATTACCAGTGAATAAGGCAGGCCAGTGAAAGGCAGATAACTGGGGACACACTGATGACAAAGTGCCACCAGGTCCCTCCTCCCTCTGCCTCCCCCAACAGCCTTTCTTGTGTTTTAGAGTGCAACCTCAGCCTGAGCTCCTTTCACTTATGTGAGGTCAAAACCACCAAGACATGCTGACACAGGGCCTGAAGTCGTTCAGGGGACACAAGGGTCCCCACAACAAAAGGGTTTGGAAAAGGGACCTCAGGAAAGCCTTGGAAGAGAAAAAAATGGATTTGACCCATGTTCACCTAATGTCATCCTGGATCTCACCCAGAACTGCCCTCAAATCTGAAATGAAAGGAGAAATGGAAACCAGCCATCCCATGTGCTACAACTCAGAGGGAGAAGTGCCAAAAATGAAGTGAAAACCACCAGGACCATGGCTGTATTCAGCTTTTGTACCTCAGAGAGAAAGATGTGGGAGAGCAGAGGATGCTGTAATGTCCCTCCCATGGCTGGCTGCTTTTTGAGGTGTTAATACTCCCTGTACATCTTTACTTCTCAGAGCAGTGTCAAGCAGCATCGCATCCCAAATCCTACCTGAAAGGCATGAAATTGGATCAGGACACTCCTTTCTGGCTGGAGGGAAAACAGAGTAAATCCATGCTTTTAGTGGAATGCAGATCTTCTCCTTGGGGACAAGCCACCTCAGGAAGAGGAATACATAGAGGAATACCTACCCTGCTCCCTGTGGCTGCTGTCTCACCCCTCAGCAGCAGCAGGTCTGAGCAGCCAGAATGAGCAGGCACTTTGCTGTCCCCAGCAGAGCTGGGACTGCTGGCCCAGGGTATCCTGCACTGACTGTGAGCCAGCCACACCTCCAGCCTCCTCCGTTCACTGGAGGGCAGCATGGACAGCACTGTGCCCACGAGGGAAAGATGCCTCCACAGCACAGTGAATGCCCTGGTGAATCCCAGGGACTGCCTCTCCCACACACCCCAAAGGCATCCTGCCTGTCCTGCAGCATGAGCAGCTGGCACTGTGCTACCCTGCCTGCCCCAGGCCACCAGTGAGGGGAAGAAGGCAGCGAGTGCCTGCTGGTTTTGGTTTCAGGGCTTGTCCCACCCTAACTCCAGGCAAAGCCAGAGCAGCCAGATCAGGTCAGGGGTCTGGGAGAGTCACCCCGTCCCAAAGCCAAAATAGTTTGGCACAGCCAGGCTGCAGGCACTGCCTCCCCTCTTGCTGGCAGAGACCCATGACCCCTCTCAGACTCCAAGGGCCGGAGACTTTCCTTAAAAAGACACACAACTACATGTACAGCACAGCCAAATGGGGCTGCAACAGTCAGTAATGCCAGTAATCCCACACAGACCATTTTCCTCAATGTTTCCCAGCACATTAATGAAAATCTTGACCATAAGCTGCACTGATTTAATAAAGTTTTGTCTGCTTGGCAAACAAAAAGGTCAAGCAGACTCGCAAAGCTATGCCTTTCCAGCCCCAAGCTCCTTAAATCTTTTTTTTTACGCTCAAGTAGTTTCATGTTCTGTCTGAAAAACAACCTCTCCAAGGCATGACCTGAGACTCTGGAAGCCCCATCAGCTCCAACCCTTGAACTCATCTCCCCAAATGACAAAAAGCAGCTAAGTAGCAGCTAATATCAGCCCTGGCAGCTGCTGAGCATTGCAGGTCAGCAGCAGAGGGGTTAGTTTGAAAGCTGTGCTACTTTTAGCATCTGCTGCAGGCAGCTCTTTTTGAAGAGGTGTATCATACACCTTGGGCCTTGGCAGTGGCAAGGCCACATCCTAGGGACATCTCTGCTCAAGCAGTGCCTCAGCTACCTAGCAAAATGTGAGGTATGATCAGGGCTGAGATGGAAAGGGGCTGAGGAGCGAAGCAGCAAGGGCTGGATCTTGGGACCCTGAACCTACATGGAAAACCAGAAAGAAACTGAGTTCATTAGTTGAGAGAAAAGCAAGGATGTGATGACCACCTCTAACCAGCTCTGCAGCTCATCCTCTATTTCTCACAAACCTACCAGCCTTCATTTCTCACAAACACAGAATAAGTTCAAGCACAGAAAAGGTGAACATTGTGTTCCACATCCCCCAGTAGTTAGGATGAGAAATCCCAAACTCAGTGTAGAGCAAAAGGGTGTGGGACAGACACTGAGAAACACCTGGAAAGGGAAATGCCACAATACTTTGAATCACAAGGTTCATCAATACCAACCCTGAGGTGCAGCCTGGGAACCTGCACCAGTTACAAGCCCAGCCTTCCTGCAGGGAACCAGAGCCCACTCACCTATCCTGGTGGGGAAGACATCCTCATTGTTAATGAGCATCTCAATCCAGTCCATCAGCATGCACATGTACTGTGGGGCCGACAGCTTGGTGGGCTTCTTGTACTTGCTGTCATCCTGCCACCTGTACTCGTACTTGAGCCCCCCGGACATGATGGGGCAGCTCCTCTCGGTGCAGTACTCCGACATGGTGCCGTAGATGAGGTTGATGCGGTTGAAGAAGTCCACCACGTGCACGGCGATCCAGTCGTTGATGCTCTCGCCAGGAGGAAGCTGCACCACTGCCTTCAGGTCCAGCCCGGACTTGAGGGAGGCCTGGGCTTTCTTGTACAGCTCAAAGCGCTGCGTGCCCGGCTCAAACTTCTTTCGGGGACGGAACGTTTTGTCTTTGTTGAAGACTTGCTTGAGACACAGGGCCATCGCGGGCAGGGCCAGCCAGGGTGAGGGCAGAGGCTCAGAGCAACATGAAACCCAGGGCTGGGGTCTTCAGGGATGGAGGTCTCTGGGGGGAGAAGGAGACACATTTCAGTCACACATGAGGACAGCTGCATGCGTGGACACACTTGCAGGGGTTTGCACCACTGACCCCACTGCTCTGACAGCACATGGGGACAGGTTTGGAGTGAGCTTCTGGCCCCTTCACGCCCACCAGGGTGACCTGGAGCAGCTGCTGCCACCTCACACAGCAGCTGCTGGCACTGGGGAGGGTAAGCCCTGCCACATGTGCCCCATGCAAGGCTTGATGGCACACAGAGCCCTTCGTCCCTCCTGCACACCCCAGGAGCCCACCAGGCTCCAGCCAACTTCTTCCTTCCAGGCTTTTACCATCAAGTGCTGCAATAAAGTGAGAGCCGTGACACCAGCAGAGCTCACCAGTTTGGGCAGTCCCACTCTGGTGGCCTTTTCCTCTCCTGGCAAAGGGGAAGCATCTCTTTCCCAGGGACTTGTCAGTACAAACAACCCCTGACCCTGCAGCAGCGACTGGCAAGCGCGGCCCCGGGGACCACGCTGCGACCGCAGCTGGCTGCTGGTTCACACAGCCCCAGCACCAGCATCAGTGGGAAAAGGGGGGATTATTTTTGTTGTTCTGCCCGGTGTGTTTGTCCAAAAGAACAAAACCCACATCCGAAGAAGGGAAACGCAGCCCAGCACAGCAGAACAACGCTGCCAGGATGCTGCCGGCTCTCCCGGCATGCACACAATGCACAGGCAGCCCTCGGGTGGTGCAGCTGATGCTCCGGGTGACTCCAGGGCTCAGCAAAGTGCTGAGCTCACCTCTTCCTGCCCAACAGTAGCAGCACAGATGAGGGCTGTATTTTGCTTTTCCTCCCTGAAATCCAGTGCAAATCCCATCTGCCCAAGGCTGTCCTGGACAGGCTGGAATTGTGCATTCTGTTACCTGCATTAATCACCAGTGGTGTTAATGTGAGACCAAGGCCTTCTTGTGCTAAATGCCTTGCTGAGGCTTAGGAAGAGAAAGTCTTTCAACAGCCTCCCCCTGATGGGAAGAGATGGAGAAGCAGTTAAGAAAAAGGAAGGAAAATATTTATGGAAAAGGGAAGTGACTGACCCAAAGTCACAAGCAGGAGGGAAGGCACACTTTGGATGAACATTCATCATTAAAAAGACAACCTTAGTCAAAAGCTTAAATTCTGTTTTCTAAACTCAATCCTGAGCCTGAGGCAGGTCCTATTTTGTGATCAGCTAAACATCTCTCAAGAGAAACCCTCTGCTCCCCTTAAGGCTCACCCCAGGGTCATCCCTGGGAGGGAGCAGGACCTAGTGATCATCCCAATGCTTGCAGGATCTGCCTGGCAGGGATTGCTGCACTACACCTCTCATGGATGCAGACCCTGGTGGGGGGGGGAAGCCCAGCAGGAATGCCACCAGTGCACAACCACAGCCTTTCCCACAGGCTGGAGCCAGAGCTTTGCCACCCTTACAGAGCTCACAGCACAGTGTGAGCACCACCACGTTCTGCTGCACCCAGGTACAAAAACCTGTGTGTTTTTAGGTGCTTTCTGCCCCACAGAGGGGGTCACAGCCAGCACCACGTTATGCAGTATGACTTCAACACCAAGGTATCTGCAGCCCTTCCCCATCTCATGTGGCTGGGTGGGATTTTAAGGGCCACATCGCTGTCACCCCCATTTATTGCCTCAGGGCAATGACTGGGGGCTGTTTCTTGGATGCTTTTTCTTCCCTGCTCCAAGCAACTGGCTCCAACTATGACAAACAGCTTGTTTCCCACTGCAGAAAAGAGCACAATCTCTCCAAAATGCCAGCCAGTGAAGCCAGCATGATGTCATGACTCCTATCTGTCCCTCAGTGAATGGCCTGTGCTACTGCAGTCCTGACGGATCCCACGGGAGGCCAGGGGACTCTGGGCACAGTGAGGCTCTAAAGAAAAGCCCTTATCCAGGACTTCCTGGATTCCACATATTCAAGCACATCCTGTTGATAGCACCTCTAAAAAAAGCCTTCTGGGGAGTTTGCTAACACACGACACTTCCAAAAACACGTATGCGTACATACATATATATTTATATATAACCACAGCAAGAGGGTTCCTAATTTGGTGGTGTAGGAAGTGCTGGGATACCCTCAGGATGAGGCACCCAGCAGGCTTTGCCCCTAGTGCAGTAGGAATGATGGGGCTGAGCAGTGTCTGGCCCTGCAGCCAGGCTTCCCTGGAATTTCAGCAAGGGAAGTCACGCCAACAAACATTTCTCTGTGTCACCATTGCTGCTGGCCTTGGCTCCATCTGCTCTGCCTCAGGGGCTGTTGCTGTTTGCAGACTCCTCCATGCAGAGCCTGGGCTGTTCCATGGTGATGAGCAGCCAGCCTGGCAGATGACATCCCATCAAACATGTCACTTGCAGGGGCTGACAGCAGTGAAATCAGTTCTCTTTTAGTGCCCACACTGCCAGTCCTCCACAAATATTGAGCCACCGGGAAATAAACATTTCATCTGCCAAAGCCAGACCTGTAACTCATGTACAACTGCATCCCTGCATCACCCACAGCTGGATCTCTGTGCTACCCTGCAAGCTGCTCTCACTCCTCAGGCAGGTGGGAATGTGCTTTGTGGTTCAGCACCACCTGAATATAACACCAGTTCAAAAAAAAAAAAAAAAAAAGCAACAAAATTGCTAAACATCTGCCAGGTGTTTTTCTACCATGCATCTGCTTGAGTGGGAATGGAGAGTAAAACCCATTGCTGCCCAAGTGCTTGGAGCTGACCTGTCCCTGAGCCTGCAGGATGCCAGCATGGCACCACAGCCTCTCTGTCCCCAGGCAGCAGTTTTCTTTTCAGGATCCTCACCATCACCACTACCAAATCACCAAGTTTTTAAGAGACCTTGTTAATCTTTACTGGACAAAAATGTTCTCCAGAAATTACATTTAGGACAAAGCCAAAAATACACCCTGGGATTTATGACCTGAAGAAGCAGAGAGAGGCCCTGAGCCAAAGAACACATTTGTTCTCTGCCTCGCTTCAGAGCTTTCACTGCCCAGAGAGATCGAGGTAGAGGGAGCAGTGGTGGCCAGGACCAGGACAGGAGATCCCAGCTCTGGCCCTTGCAGATGGGGCACTGAGGTGGGATGCACCAGCTTGGAGAAAACAGGCTTTGCAAAGTCACCAATGCCTCAGATTCCCCTCAGGCAGAGACTCAGCACCCACCTGTTTTCTGGGAAGAAAAGCAAAATCCTTTGCAAATGGACCCGGACACATCCTGAGTCTAACTGGTGGGAAAGGGCTTCAGCCAATGCACAATCAGATTTTCCCAGTTTCCACTTTTATGCATCCAACCTGACCGGTGCTCTTCCATCACTGACCAAGTATTTGGGGCAGATCCATGGAAAGAGATGGAAAATGGGAGATCTTCCAAGGTTTATGGTGCAAAGTTCAGCTGAGTTTGATGTTCAGGGCTGTCGTGTTCCTAGAAATCATGTCGTGGTCTGCTGGGTGGGGCAGGAGGCCCATCCAAGTCCTAATCACTGCCTGTTTTGGGAAATCCTAAGGGCAAAGTGTTATCCAACAAGCTTAGGCAGCAACTTCCTACAACATGATCCTACAGGTCCCGCCCCGGCCGGCGCGGCAGGGCCTGGGCCAGCGCCACGGCAGCAGCCTGCAGCTCTCTGCCTTCAGCTCCCACCTGCAAATCAAAGCTTTCCAAGAGGAGCCCTGGCAAAGGCTGCAAACCCTCTTCCCCACGCCACAGTTCCCATCACAGGGAACTGTGCTGCTGCTGGCACTCCAGGGATCCATAAATCCCTTTCTGAAGCATCTGCAAACCCCCAAATCAAACCTCATCCTGTGCTTGCGAGTGGACAAGGAGTGAAGCAGGTGGAGCTGGGGACTTGCCCTGCTGTCACCCTGGGTCCCCACAGAGGATGGCTGGAAGAGGACGAGCGAAGTTTCTGGGAGGAGAGAGACTGACATTTCCCATGGGACATCCACGCTGTGGTGTCCTTAGTGCTCACCCCCATCCACGCTCCCAAAATAGCCTTGGCTTTGAGGAGCTTGGCTACAAACCCAGCTGAGTGGCCACAAATCCCACCCCTGTCCTTGAAGGCTGCTGGGCTTCAGTCCTACCCCTGCTTTTGCTGCTGGCTTCAGTCCTGCTGGTTTTAAAAGCAGCAGCAGAAGCAAAACTCAGTGGGGTTTAGCAAGAACCAGAAAAGCACAGGGTTCAGCTGGGCAAGGACAAGGCAGAACCACTGCTGGGGAGGTAGCAGGCACAGACGTGAAAAACTGATGTCCCAGATTGCTGGCAAGTCCAGAGATGAAAGGAAATTAACTGGATGGGAGGGATGCGAGTTCAGGGTCAGACTAAGACGCTAATTTCAGGTCTGAGGGTTGGTTTTGTTTTTTATCTAAACTAGCTTGCTTTCTTTCTTACGTACTTTCTTTCTTATCATCTGAAAACCACAGAGGAACACAACAAGGCAAAGGCTTTGTTGTAAATTAAAAACAACTCTGAAAGGTCTGTTTAGAAACGACAAAACAAAAAGGAAGAGCAGGCAGAGCTGTGGGAGTGTGGCTTCCTCCTCACAGTCCTGCAGGCGTGGGGGCAAGGTCACCAAAGAAAACCTCTGGTTTTGAGCCCAAATAAGCTTTAGTCAGAAAACCAGCAGGAAGGATCAGACAGATGCACTGCCAGACTCCAGGGTGATGGTCACAGTGCTGCTCACTGCCTCAGTGTCCCCAATTTCAAAACTGATCTCCCTCCCCAGGCTCCCTTTAAGAGCTGCAACAACAAAGGCTTCAGGGGAAAAAGTGCTTTGCAAGTGTCTCTGGGGACTACTAACAACCATGAAGGGTAAGGAGAGAGAAAAGCTCTGACACCAGCACCTCCCATGCTCCAGTGCCAAGTGCATCCCCCCTGGATCCATCCCCAGACAGTGACACCCTGGCAGAAGCATCTGCCTGGAACCTGCTGCATTAACAGCACACTCCAACCCTCACTGGGGAGCACAATGAGAGGTCCAGCACTGTGGCAACCTGCAGGGAGACTCCAGCTCCCACTGCTTTGGGAAGAGGCCAAGGAGGCAGAGCACAGACCTGTGCAGCTCCAGGCACCTTGGAGCAAGGTGTAAATTAATTACCACCAGCTCTGCACATCCCCCTCAGGCTTCCCCGGGGGATCTTGCCTTTGGGGCACCAGATATCTATTGCTTCTCTCCTTTAGGGGATTCCCTTCTCCCCACCATGGGCAGTGTCAAAGCCCACCCAGCCCCATCCCAGATGGAGGAGAAGGACAGCACCAGCTCAGCCACCATGTGCCAGAGCCCTGAGACAGACAGACGGACGGACAGTCTGCCAGAAGCCTGCGGGCCCCAGCTGGCTTTTCACTGCTCTAGGAAGCCTCACTGCCTGGCTGAGGAGCCAGCAGCCTGTCTCTGAGCTTCTCTTCAAGCCCCAGGGAAGTCCAGATGCAGTTTGGTCTCAGCCTGTCCTAGAGCATCTCTGCAACCAGGGCTGCTTCTTGGGACTCATGTCCCAAAGACTTCTCCAGGCAACCCCGAACTGCAGACACTGCAGCCCTGACCCAGGGAGGGACTGTGGGCAAATGGGGCTTCCAGGGAAGGGAGCATATTCCCCTTTATATAAGCATTTCCAGCCTTGGAATTGTCTAAGAAAGGGGGGGCTGCAGAAGGAGGGTGCTGGAGAGCAGTCCTGGGGCACTGGCCCCACTTTATAAGCATTTCCAGCCTTGGAATCATCTAAGGAAGGGGGGCTGCTGCTGGAGAGCAGTCCTGGGGCACTGGCCCCACTGCCTCTGTGCTTCCTGCTGGAGCCAAGCCCCAGCTGGGCTGTCCGTGAGAACGGGGTTATTGGCTGCTGGTCCCAAATATAACCTAAACGATAGAAAATTCCAGGAAGTAAGCCAAGACACAACGCTGTGAGGGGGATCAAGGCCCAGCACATGGGCTGGGGGAGCTTCAGAGAAGCCCTGGGCTCTCAGCAGCATCTCCCTGCTGCCAAACCTTCCTTGTGCAAACTCCCCTGGTGCCGCCGAGACCCACGAGAGCATCCATGAGCACAAATCCCTGGAGCAGAGCAGGACTCAGCCCCCACGCTCCAGCTGGGGACAGCTGCCAGCAGGAAGCTGTGCTGGTGCTTCCCCCAACTCACATGGTGCTTGGAAATCCCCAGCTCGTGAGAAACGGACCTGGATGGCTTCCAGCAAGGGGACTGCTTACACCCGCCCTACAGATGTCCCCTGCTGTCCCCCTGCTCTGTCCTGCTCCCTGCCACACACAGCAGCAGCTCTCTGGCCCAAAGGCGCCAAAAAAAAGTTTTTCCCAGATCACACAAGACACCTCCAAGCAGAAAAGCAAAGCAGCATCTCTCCCTGTTAGAGGCAGCACGTCCCGTTCATTTTAGGTGTGATACCCAGTGGGGCCGGGGGCTTTTTGGGGTACCTCATTCCCGGGAGCTGAGATCCCACTGCTACTAGCAGTAACTTGCTGTGAGCCCTGAAAAGAAGTGTCCAATGGCCTCAGCGGTGTCCAACAGCTCTGGTTCAGTCCCAAGGGTGATTATTCCATTGTCAGAGCCGTAATTCCAAACACCGAGAGCTCCAGCCCTGCGAGCTCAAGGAAGAAGACGAGAGGAGATAAGCCAGCTGCGCAAAACTTATCTCCACCGCTTGCTCTCACCCAGTTCCCCCGCCCACAACTTTCCACCCTCCCTCCGACACCGGCAGAGCCGCTCCGGGGCTGTCCCGGTCGGGAAAGGCGTGTGTGCCTTCCCCTGCCTGTCCCCTGCCCCGAGGGACCCCCTTTCCCTGCGCACGGACCCCTGCCCAGCACCCCAAAAACCGGGGATCCCTGCTATTTACACGCTGGCTGCTGAGCCGGGACACCCCGGAGGAAGGGGAAGAGCCTTCTGCAGGCGTCCACGGCCCGGCTGGGTGAAGAATTGCCCTTTCCGAGGCTAATGCCAGCCCAGGTCTCGCCCCAGGAGCATCCTCAGGAGCGCCGTGCTGGCTTTTTACCTCCCAGGACTCACCTCATCCCCGGCACGGCGGCTTCCAGTCTCAAATCCCTCCGCTGCACTTTCTGCTCTTATTCAGGAAAAGGAAAAAAAAAAATTAAAAAGATAGAAAGTCCAAGCCAGGCTCTCTGTCGGGACTGTTGGCAGACTGGGGACCGCGGCAGCAGCAGCGGCAGGCAGAACCGCCTCGCTGCAGCGCCCGCGGGGGTTTCGTTAGAGAAGCCGGGGCCGAGGGTTTTTCTCCGGTCAGTGATGTCACATCCTGACCCTGCCGGCAGCTCCAGCTGTCCCTGGAAAACCCGCTTGGAAGCGGGCCTGCCAGCCCCCTCCATCCGCCGCCGTGGGCTCGCAGGCTCCTGGGTGGGCGCTCACTCCCACCCGCACCCGCGCTCCATTCCTGGATGCTGAGATCCTTCTTGGCGAGCAGTCCCGTGCCGCTGGCTGGCCCCGGCTTTCACAGGACAGCAGGGAGCTGGGGAAAGGAGATGGAATCCCGGAGTGTTTTCCCCTCCTCCCCCCATCTTTTCACAGTCCCTCTCCCTTCATCCCTCCCCGCCCCGCACACACGCACAAAACCAGCCGGGGGTTTCCGTGCCCGGCCAAGCTGGATGCCACCCAAAACAGAAATGCCGGAGAGGGGAAAAGAAAGATAAAAAAAACTTTCTCTGCACAGAGCACTTACTTTCCGTTTCTGTCGGAGCTGGGTGAGTTCTGAAGCGCGCTGCGGTATTTAAACGCTGCTCAGCAAAGGCAAGCCTGAGCCAGCACGCTCGGCGCCGGCAGGAGCGGCGTGGGATGGCCTGGCAGGAGCCGGGATCCGCCCTGGGGTCGGAGTCACAGCGCTGTGCCCCCCACGGGTGATGCTGGTGGTGTGGGGCAGGGCAGTGCCAGGCGCGGCCACTCGCGGTGCCCTCCTGGCACGGTGACGTGTGGCTCCCCGGGGGTGAGGTGTGTGATGCTCTGGCCTTGCTGAAACTGCCAAATTGTTTGGCACCGGGACAGTTCTAGTGAGGGAAACGTTTCTAGCCTTTCTTACAAGTGTGTTAAACTTGGGTCAAGCCAAGTGTTTGCGGGTGAGCTGGGGAGTGGGCACAGGGCAAGGGGGATGTGGCTGATGGGCACGTTTGCATAAAGCTGGAGGGGTTAGGATGAGGGTTTGATTCCCTGAACCCTGCCTGGCATCCCCTGGTGCTGCAGCTGTGGATTTGTCTCCCAACCCAATGCAGCCTGTGCATCCAGCAGCATGCATCCCTGCAGGATCCGTACTCCTTTCCCCAGGACACGGCTTCTCAGCTGCTGGTGATGCCAAGGTTTACTCTTGAGGCACGATGGTCAGAGGCAGTCTTTAAAAATAAATTCATCCAGCAGCCTCCCTGACCAGCCAGCCACGAGGGAGCTCAGCCCAGCCCTGCAAGGCATTTACTTTACTTTCCTCCCCCTTTCTGTGAGGTTGGTTTGGTGCAGGTGCAATAGGAACTCTTTGGCACCTGCAGCAGCATCTTATTAGAAGTGAAGAAGACACTGCAGGGCCCATTGCAGGTCCTGACCCAGGTGACAGGAGAAGGACACACCAAGGACATGCAGGATTCATCTGTGCCCTGCATCCACTACAGCATGAGATGGCTGAGGTGTTTCACATCTGCAGAAAAGGTAAAACCTTGAGGTGAAGTGCCCTGCACAGCTTGAGGCAGGAGGGAAGCACAAGGTGTGAAATTCATCTGTCCAGCTGCTTCCCACCACCACAACCATCACCTCAGAGCTCAGCTCTGTGCTTGCATCCTCCCTGCATCTGCAGGCTGAGCCTTTTCCACATCAGCCTTGCCCTGCTCATGAGTGAATCTCTCACAGTCATTGCAGGTAGATCCAATTAACACCCCTAAAATCAGGATCAAGCTCAAATAATCCAGCAGACTCTTCCTGGTCACTGGCAAACCAGCCACATTCCTGACTCCAGCAGGTTCAGGCAAAGTCTTTCCTCATCCCCAGTGCTGGATGCTCATTACAGCCACCCCAAGTCCCAGCAAGGGCTGAGCAATGCTGCTGTCCTCCATCCTGGGGACCTGGGATGCAGGAAACAACAAAATGTCCTAGACCTTGTGAGCGGGAAGTGGAGGTCTGTGAAGCAGATGCAATTCCCAACAGCAAATGCCAAGCCAAGAGGAAACTTTCAGCTGAAATCTCTGCAGAAAATGGGCAGAAATCCAAAAGTGAGGGGGCTTGGCCAAATAGCAAAGATCCCAAAAGCAACTCATAGCCAGGATTTACATCCAGGCAAGATGGAGCCAAAATACTTGGAGGGGAGATGGGGTCCTCCCACCCTCAGCAGTCTGGAGCCAAAAGAGAGGGGCCAGGAGAACAGCAGGAGGGCTGGAATTACATCAGCTGCAGCCCCACAAGTCCACAGGGGTGAGCAGCACCTCCTGCTCAGGGACTTCCCCCTCACGTGAGGTTTTGGAAACCTCAAAAAGCAGAGAGCCCATGGTCCCAGAGCCACCCGGTATCCCAGCTGTGGGGAAGGGAAGCAGGAGTCACTTGGGAGAGAGGAAAAGCTCCGAGGGACAGCTTTGGGGAAGGAGGGATGCGTTATTGTGAAGAGGGCATTTGTCTGCCCTGGAGGAAGGAAGAGGGGAATGCTGGCCTCGCTCCCGAGGGCAGGTGCACGGCTGGATTTATCGGGGGAAGGAAGCAGGGACGGAAGCGAGCCCGGAGCACTGGGCGGCTCCATGGGAGCTAGGGGCAGGCACGGGAAGAGGCCCAGGGCAGCGAAGGAGCTTGGCAAGGCTTGTCAGGACACGGCTGCCCCGGGGGCAGGGGGAGCCCCCTGCCAGCCCCCAGCACTGCGCTGGGCTCTCACACAGTGCCCTCCATGGCACCTCACGGGCACTGCCACTTCAGCGTGCTCCCAGACAGGGCTGGAAGGCTGGGAATGCCTGTGCAGACCAGAAGACAAAGCAAAAGGGAGCAGTGGGTTTGCTCTGGGTATTCCCAGAGGGGAACAGGACGTGTCCAGAAAACAGCTATGCAGTGTTGGGAACAGTCAGTTCCCCTGCTCTGCCCTGCTCCACCACGTCCTGCACAAACTCAGAGACAGGGAGTGAGAGCTTCTTCAGCCGTGGAAGGCTTCTTCAGAGGGCACTGGAGTCTTGCCATTTTCTAAGGCACAGGGGGAAAAAGCCAGGTACAGATGAAAAAGCACTGGAGTCATCATTTTAAGGGAGGGTAAGATGTCATCCATCAATCTGCACTTCCTTGATTGCCTGGACTGCCACCTCCTCCCCTGGGAGCAGCACGGGCTCTGGGTTTATCTCCCCAGGGTGACAGGGCTGGATGGGCAAGCCAGAGGTTTGGGATGCTGGTAACAAAGAGCCTCTGCCTGCAAAACTTGCTCCTCCACTCCCAGCAGGAATTCCTGCCACATCCCTGGTCCTGGGCTCTCCTCCAGCGGGAGGCAGACCACAACCAGCACTGAGGGGGCTCCTACAGCACCTTCCTGCAGGATGCTGCAGAGGCTGAAGTTCACGGGGAGCCACTGGGAGTCTTGGACTTCTCCTCCCTGAACCTGCCCCTTTGATGGCTATTAAAACCAGACACATTCAGTTTGGGAAGGTGCTGGCCCAAAAAAGACTGGCAATCAGCAAAACATGCTGGGAAACTACTGCAGGATGTTTGCCCTCCCGAGGCAGCTCAGGTGGGATGTGGGACATGAGGCTAAACTCAGCACAGCCCAGCTCGTTATGGATCACACAGGAGCAGCCTGAGCATCTGAATGGCTCTCAGCACACAACTCACAAAGTTCACAGAGCCGAGCAGACAGGCTCAGGCAAGCTGTGCGAGTGCCCAGAGCTCAGAATCAGGAGACAAACCTTCCCTCTAGTGGCTGGATGGCACACGAATCCCACAGCCACCTTCTCCCTCTGTCACCTCTCCCCATGCCAAGCCTAACAGCATTATTTTTCACCAGCCCTAAGGCTCAGCACAGCTCCTATGGGCATCACACCTCACAAACTCTGTGTGAGTTTTTAGTGGCTTAAAGCTGGTGCAGCTGCTGATTTGCACCAAGCCAGACAGCCCCGGGGGTCTGTGCCCACTCTGCAGCTGGTAGTGCCCATCCATGCCCGTGGTCAGCCCGTGCCATGGCAGCACAGTCCTTGCACAAATGTGTCCCAGGCACTGGAGAAGCCACGCAGCCACAAATCACCCTGGTTTCTGCAGCGAGGGTGGTTTGTAGGGCCAGTTCTTCAGCTGGGTTACTCCCCCTTGCAGCACTCATTCAGTGGGGCAGAGGATCAGATTCTGCTGGAGCTTTTTATTATGGGTCTTCTTCCCAGTTTTAGCCTCATCACTGGCCATTTCTGCCTTTTTTAAAGTCCAAGAAGAGTTCTTAGAAAAAAAATCACATTATGGGTTTAGGAAAAAAACACCTCAAAATTACAGGTAGATCACTACAGCCTTATACCTGACCCCAGAAAAGTTCTTAGTAAAAAAATCACACGATGGGTTTAGGAAAAAAACACCACTCAAAATTACAGGTAGATCACTACAGCCTTATACCTGAGAATTTGATCTTTTATGCTCAGAAGAGGTTGAGATGTAGATTTGGGAGCCTTAGATTTCACTCTCAGGGATGTTACATTATAGCTACATTTAAAATGAACGCAGCAACTTCGACTTTTTCAAAGCTGGAAGTGAATTATTAATCAAAACAGCCCTTCTGTCAGCTAAGGAAAAATGATAAATGGAGCGGGAACACCATAAACCAGAAGTAGAAATGCCTTTTAATAAAGGTGATTTGCTGTTCAGATTATCACAGCCCTATCCATGCCTCCTCTGATACATTTTTCCCCTGCTCTGCAGACTAATCTGTACACAGTGAACAGAAACCAAAAGCCATGACCAGGGAGCAGGACCATCTCCTTTCAGCAAGGCCCCAAGAGAACATCTTTCTCTTCTAGAAATATCTGCAATTTCCTGAATGGACAGGAGTTCTCACCCAACATCTAAGAGCTGGTGACACAATAGACCTCAACATAAAACTGCACTGTGTAGCTTTAGTGCCCAGCTGAAGTGTTCATGTCATAAAATCAGAGAATGGGCTGGGTTGGAAGGGACTTTCAAAGGCCATGTAGGGCAGAGAAAGCAGAGTGACAGTGGGCATTACAGCAATGGGATCCTACAACTACACAGCAAAAAGATGCTGCAAGAAACCTTCATTACTCATTTGTAGGGCAAAGAACAGGCAGAGAAAATACAGTGACATTACAGCAATGGGATCCTACAACTACACAGCAAAAAGATGCTGCAAGAAACCTTCATTACTCATCACAGCTCCATATCAGGTTGTGGGTAATGAAGACAATTTATACCAGCCACACCCTCCAACAGAGAGACAAACTGCAGGTCCTTCTTTCCCCCCAAAATGCCTGCCAGCTCCAGCAGGCTGACAAGGTGCAACGTGGCCCAGAGCTAATTAGTGCTAAGGATGAGTTGTGCTGGGGGTCTGATGGAGACATGGGAAGTATTTCAGAGGGGCTCCTGGAAGCTCCTGGCTGTCCTGTGTCCCCCTGTGCAGTGGTGGCAGTGCTGGTAACCCCCACAGGCTGCACATCACACTGCTGCAGTGTCCTTGGCCGTGGATGTGCTGCCTCTGAGCTTCACAAAGAACTCAAAGCATCAGTTTTGGGATTCTTTTGCTGGGGGCAGGTTTAAAACCCCCAACCTGCTGCAGCCTGTAAAGCCAGGCTCTTACCAACACTGCTGTGTTAAAGCAGCTCTGCATGTTCACACCAAGACATTTTTTTCACTTGACAAACAAGAAGCTGGCTGGTGACTCTCTCTGTCACTATGCCAGTCCATCTTTCTTTTATTACGGATAGTGCCTTTCCTGAAGTGGGAACAAGAGTTATTTTTTGTTCCTTCAAATGCCATTTGTGAGTTGGCTGACTAGATGCCAGCCTGAGAAAAAAATAATTCTATAAAACAGGCAATGATTCCTCTACACTGTTAAAAATATACTAAAAACATAAAACCATGTTCATACTGCTCAAAAACAACATCTCAAATACAGAAACATCACAACAGGATACAATTAATAAATCAATTAAGAAGCAGAAAATTCCCAGAACAAATCCAGTGACTCTGTTTTTTTTAATTCTGAGAAAAGCTCAGACCACAATATACATCTGTGTAAGAAACTTCACAAAGAAACAAAGAGGTGTCTGTCTTAGGCCATTGCTCCTATTCTTTCTTCTTGATGGAAAAGCCTGTATGAATTCCACACAGATTAAAAAGCACTGAACCATGCAATTATAATGGTGGAGGGCATTTAAAATGCTTTTACTGAGAAGAAACATTGGTTGTCATCTCCTTCCTGATGTCAGTACAGCCCGTTACATAGCTCCCCTTTTGTCACTTTATTTCAGATTTCCACAATCCAGCAGGCAGCAGGAAGTTACAAGACTGGGGAAATGGCTCTTTCTGATGAAGTTACACTGAAGTACTGGGCTCCATTTTTTAGCAATTAGTTACTGTTGTTCAAATGGCCCAAGTCCTCATCTTGCATCAGTGCCAGACAGGCTTGACTGTCACTCTCCCAGGATGTCTGCAGACTCCTTCTGTGGCCAAATCCAAGCTGTAAAACAGAAGACTCTGGACCACCCCTCCTAGGACCCCCTGCTTCTGCTGGCTCCTTTCACCACAGGCCAGGCTCTATGACTTGTCAGAAGCCTGCCCTGGTCTCAGTTCTCTTCCAAGCCCACTTTGCTCAAGCTCTGCTATGACAGACATGTATTTGAATTCACTGGATCTGTGGTTGAAGGTCTCCACTAGCCCGTAGGTCTCGGAGCGATCGGTGGCGTAGAACAGCTGCACCTGGCTGGCCAAGCACTGGGCATCATGGACCACCTGGAGGGGGAACAGAGCTGTCACCATCGGGGGGGCTGTGCCAGTGTCCCATGGAAGAGAAATGCCACACTCCTCCTCACCACGTGGCTCAACTCCGAGTCACCTCAATTCAGCAAATCCCGTAACAATCCACCTGCCTGTGGCTCCTGACCTACTTAAACACTCCAGCACCGTGTGTTTTAGCAACTCTCCTGCTGTGCATCTGCCTCAGAGGTCAAGCGTGGCTTTTGTCATCCCTGCCCACTCCAAGAGGCACCAAGTCCTCATTTTTCCCTCCTTACAGCTGACCTACTTGCAAAATTGATTGTTTGCTCTGAGATCCAACAGGGAAAAAGAAAAGCATTACCAGTTACTGCATTCATTGTTTCAGAAGGGGTGTCAGGAGGTCAGCTAGAGGAGGGCCTTTCTAATGATTCTGTTCCACCACTGCAGTGCCCAGTGCCACCAGTTCAGGCACTGGTACAGTGATGCCAACAATGGTGTGCCCACACAGAGGGAAAGAGCACAGGTGTGCACAAACTGAACACACAGCTCTGGAGTCTCCTGCTTTGACAAACAGGATTAGGCTTCAAACACTGCTTTAACTTGTTTGCAGGTAGCAACAGCTTTCATTTAAATTTGCTTCTGTTAGAAGGGAAAACAGCTTTGTTCTTTTACAACTATCACCTGTAATACCCAAATTTAAAAAAAAAGCATGCATGAACTGAAATCACCAAAGACTGGGGATTCCCTTGTGGCTTTCCCTAGCCTTAAGTACATTAGTTTAAAAAAAGAGAGTGGGATCATTCTTTGGCAAAGGGTCTTTGAAAGGCTTCATTGTAATTGAATTTTAATTCAAGACTGTAGGAGGAGTTGCAACATAAAATGAAGGAAGCCAATGAGCAGACTTCTCTTACCAAGAACTTGGAGTCCATTTCTGCTGTCATTAGTACTATCCCTTTCTCCTTCTGCAGATCAGGATAATGGTACAAGACCAACTGGCTTGGAGCAGTTTCACCCTGGGTCTGAATGAGAGAAAGAAATCTGTCAGTATCCCATAAAAACCTTCACTGCACATTTGGGTGCTTGATTACAAAACTTTGAGCATTAACTGCCACAGAGGCAGTTCCCAGGGCTTAAGGGTCAGCTCTAATTAGAAGTTCATTATTCTTGGTATTTACAGAAAACAGGGGGTTTGCAGAATTAAGATGTTTTTTAACTTGACTAAAGACTATTTTGCATTTAAAAGAACCCGCAATTTTTAGGAAGATATTTAATCTTACAGCATCTACTGCTCTTTTAAGTAGCTTGCACAAATGGTTTTAAAAAGCTTGGCTCTTGTTCATGTTTTGAGTCTACTGAATTTCTACCTCATTATCCTCTACACTACAGAGACACTTAATACCCATAACTTTACATGTAACTAATGTACAATTAAACCATAATTAATAACAGCTATTGTCACAAGAATTCTTTTCAAGTTAAGCTAGACAACCTGTTGGCTAAACTACTTAGTAAATACCATATACTGCAGTATGCTGATAATATCTATTTCTAGATCCTAAGTCAGTTTTGAACTTTTTATCTCAAACACTTACCTGAACATTTATCAGGGAAGTGAAGTGTAATTCTGTTCCAGACCACTGCCCCACAAAGAACTCATAGCCTTCTTTTCTTGGCAGTGCATACAGAAACTGCAGAGAAATGATAAAAAAAACCAAACCAATTTTCCCTTACATAGAACAAAATGATGCCTGAGTCAACTGGCCTCCAGCATTAATGCTTTATTGTGAGAACCACAACAGAAAAAAGAGTTTCTTTGCCCCACCACAAGTGACAGGACAGCAAGAATCAGACTTTGAAGCACACAATAAAGCAGAATTAACCTATCAGTACTAATTCATTAGCAAATATCTTGACAAATACTTTTGTTAGTATTTTGAGACATAAAAAGGAAATTGGAGAACATTCAGACTCTGACCTTTTTGTTCTCACCTAGAAAACTAACAGCAGAAATGGTCAAATACAAAGTAAGGAGCAGAGTATTTAATCCTGTCATTTTATCAGCAGCACCAGACCAGGCAGCAGGCATCTCCTCTCTAGACATTTACAACCCATCCAGCTCCACAGGCTACACACTTGCTCGTTTTCCCCCACCAAGAGAAGGACAACACAGGAGCAGAAAATCTTGCAGGATACCTGACTCAGTGCCAGTGCAGTGTACAGAAATGCACTTGAGGCTATAAATAACTTCCCAATCTCCAAGTAGCTCAGGAAGCCAGATACATTTGATCTTGCTCTTGGCAAGTGAAGTAGGTAGGACTATTCCATCAAGCCAGTAAAGTCTCCATTCCCTGGGAGATCCTGTGCTGCTGCTCTCTCAACCCTCCATCTCTTCTATCTAGATCAAACTGTTTCATACATATGAATAGGCACTGAGCACCAGGACAAGTGTTTGAACACCTGGATTTTACTAATCAGGCTGATACAATGGGTATGAACACAGGAGGGTCAGAAGTTAATGGGCACCAGGCTCTAGAGAAGCACTGCAGCTCTACAAGCACACGCTGCTGTACGTACCGATGGACACGTCTGGGCTCTCTTCCACATCACATCAAACTTGTCTGCCTTTGGGGAAGGAGAAAGAGAAGTTCAATTTTCGTAACACAAACGTGGATGCAGAGCTGTTCACAATCACCTCATTAACCTTCAGTACAGCTTCCATCTGGAGAGGTCCCACTGTGGGGACAGATGGCAACGAGTGCCTGGAAAGCTGCATTTAGTTCTTATTTACCTAAAAGTCATCAGCATCCTGTTTTAATAAGGCTGTCTCTAAGAAGCAGCAGCAAAATCCTTGGATCCAGAGCTTCATGCCTTGGATGTGGGGCCCCAAGCCTGAGGCTTACATCCTCTTTCAGTAATTGCTCCACTGCATCATGCAGTGTCAACAGCTGAGCGAGACAACACATCCCTGGCTCCAAACTGTGGATTTACATCATTGTCATCTGTTCTTAGTATAAAAATGCAGCCCATCTATACACTCAATAACACACTTATTGCTTAGGTTTAAATTAAAACCACAACCCTATTCCAGCCCTGATGAAACCTGGCAATTTCATTCATGTGTCCTCTGTGTTTCCCCAAATCTTTTGCCTAATTTTTTTTTTTTGCTTCCCAGCACTATATTAATATCTGCTCTTAGGTGTTCAGGAAAGAAAACATATGCCATTCATCAAGAAGAAATTCCTTCATGTGTACTTTTGAGCATGGAAGAATTATGCAAGGCCTTTCAGCCAACAAAAAGCTTCTGGCAAAAGACAAAGGGGATTTTTTCCCCTCGATGACACCATGAACTGCTTCCTAATGTGCCTGGGGTCTGGTTTGCATTGAAGTCTTAAAAAGCTTCCAACACTCCTCCTAAAACAGTGCACCAAAGCACACTGCCAGCCCCACTAAAGACCTACATTTTAACTGGAGTCCCTGGCTTTGGCCCTCTGCTACAGTAAAAGTGCAAATCAAACTATTTTCATAACATCCACATGTTGGGAAAACTGAAACATGAGGCTGACTTCAAATCCCACACTTCCACTTTCAGAGCATTCAGCACATCACACTTCTAGAACACTGCCTCCCACTGAGTTCAGCTGTAACAGAAAGGGCCAAACACAATTAAAAATCAGACCCCAGATCTAAATGAGGTTTCAAGAACTCAAGGAACACTCAGTTGTGAAAAGACAGATTTAAGAGATCACAATCACGGAATGACCCTGAAGAAAAGACTAAAGAGAAATCCCCAAAGTGAAGAAAGTCTCCTTCAGCCTAATGCACACTGAGAACAATTAACATCTGGAAAAGTTATCAGGAGTAAGAAATATGATCTTATCTCAGGAAACACCCTGCAATCTCAAGAAAGACAGTGCTGCCAATAATTGTAAATATATGAAAGTAAGTCCTAAGTGGTCAGCCACATGCAAGTTACCAGCCAAGTGCTCTTGGACAGCCACATTAACCTTGAGGCAGCTGCCTGTGCTGCGGGGAAGAGGGCAAAGAAACAAGCAACTCTGACAAAAATAACTAAAAATGCAAATGCTACTTAATAAACACTAGGGCCTTGCAAAAAGTGTTGGAGGCTTGTATTAAAATAAGCCTGTAAGTTCCAGCCAGGTGTGCAGAAAAAGGTCCTTGATTTATTGAGACTCCTCTGAGTGAGGAAAAAAAAGGGTATGCATTTCTGAAAACAAAAGCCTTTGTTTGGGACAATAAAATCACTCAGCCCAGAAATTATGTTTGTTCTTGAAACCTCACTTTCCTTTAGTGACTGCTTTTAAAAGCAGCAGAATCTCAGTTGGAAAGGAAAGCTTTGCATGCTGGCTTTTCAAGTGCAGAACTATAGAAGAACTACTTACAGGAATAACAGCATAAACTGTGTCTTTCGCAGAAAAATACTGATTCCAAATCTGCAGGAAACAAAGATGAGATACAGTTAAAGTCTGAGATACAGCTAAAGCATTTAGCAGTAATGTCAGATGCTTTAAAACATCAACTAACCTTTGTAAGCACTTTGGGGAGTAATTTTTCAATCAAGCCTGACTGACTTTCCTGCTAATGCAACACACTTCTGCAAAGGTTCCAGATGTACCAAAGGAGAGATTCCAACCAGGTAACAGAAATCAACAGTGGGCTCAGAGGTAGCTCAGTACTTATTAACCATCAGAAGTGCTTCTCACATCTTTCCCAACAACCACACTAATGACTTTTGGTTGAGTCTTTTGGTGGTGGTGTTTTTTTTTTAATAAAGAACATGAAAACATTTTCAACAGAAGACATGTCTTTGCATGATGCTTCTCTGTTTTCTTCACCACAGCAGGCTGGCAATACCCAGAGCACCTGCACCTCTTAGCACATCCTAGGAGGACTTACCTAGATGGAGAAAACTTTATCTTCTCCTATGGATACCCATGTGAATATGCTTTTTGTAAATATACATCCACAGCTGTATTTTATTCTTCAGTCTAAGGAAAATTTCCATCCTTACACACAGATTACTATTAAGCACAGATGTGAAGCAAACTTTATTCCATTTAAATCCATCACCTGTGTTATCTCCTCTGCTGATTTTTCTTTCACCATCTCAACATTAAGAATTGAATCAAGTGTCTGCAAGAGAAAGCATACAGAATCTGGCATGATGGCAGTTCTCTGACCTTGTAAGAATCCAAATGAATGCACGCAATTACAGAGAACAAAATCAACCTAGAGGAACCCTATTCAATTTATAGTGTTACTTAGTCCCTCTAATTGCCAAATAAAATACAGCAGCAACACACTGAGAAGTGGATTCCCACACTGAGGCAGAATAGATTCTTTCAGGACACAGCACATGCTTTGCTCTCTGCTGAAGCTGCAAGAGGAGCTGCAGCCTTTTGCCTTCAGCCATCTCAAAGACATGCTCTTTGGCAGATTTATACTGAAGACTCACCAAAATAAAATAATGTGAAATAGAATTCTCTTGTCCCTGGGCTGGCTGATCACTGCAAATGTATTTCCATGCTGTAAAAGGAGCTCAACCCTTTCCATTTAATGTTCAGAACAGATGCCCTGATTGGAAGGAATTTCCAGCGTGTCACAGAAAAAGGACAGGGCAATAAAAACCCAGAGTGCCAGGAGTTTTAAGGTTGAATGGGACCCCAACAGTAAACCTAGATCTTACACTCAAATGCAGCATAAGGAACACCAGGTTTATATCAAAGTGCTTTTGACTGAAACTGGCTGTGGCAACACAAACTAATCCACACCCTTGCATTGCCACTGTCCCCTCCTCACACCTGGGTTCATTTCTCTCACCTTATCCTTTGTGAATCCTCCCTTTGATGTCTTGCTGCCCAAGCCTTCTGCCTGCAAAAAAATATTCTTTAGTTTTACAGCTAATACCATTGATTTGCCTTCCCTGCCACACATAACCTGCCTGCTGACAAAAACTCCTGAGTGGGAGCTCTAGATACATGAAGATCACTGCAGTGTATTTTTAATAAAATAAGTGATTGATTAGGTGAAATAAATAAGATTAGTAATCTAATGTGAATGATGAATTTCAAGGCTGCAAAGGATTAGTCACAAGGAAACTATTATGCATTTTGGATCCAATATTGTTGAACAGTTTTCTTGCTTTCACTGAAAAAAATGATAAATGCAGGATTGTGTCACTCTTCTGGCCAAACTAATCTGGAACTAATTAAACTTAAACAAGGTTTCAAGCAGGGAATTCACAGTCTAAAAAATAATACAGAGGAGCAGAGAACAATGCTTTTAGGCATCACACAGTGACATTTCAGACCTCCTACTGATAGGGATACATCCAGTTTGTAGCATTACACTGATCCCACAAAAATAACATCAGAGCTTCAATGTATGTGATTTACAAAGAAAACTGGCCTTGCCTTTTCCTCCATGCATCTGATAAACTCTCCTTGTTTGGAATGTCCCACAGGCTGCTTTTTCACTTCACTTCTTTTTTCCATACGGGATTCAAACACATCTGGATTGGACCTGAATTGGAACAGGGACTGTTATCAGAACAACAGAGCAATAGAACAGCTCGAGTTGGAAGGGACCCACAAGGATCACCCAAGTTCTCCTCCCTGCTCCTTGTCCAACTGGACATAAATTCATATAACTAAACCATTCCAATTTGCTTTTAAATAATCTTAAGTTTTTAATTATGACAATAAACAGGAAAAATCAATGCACAGTTAAGAAACTGTGAAAGCTGTTGCACAGTATCTCCTGTGACCCAAGGCTTTGGATTTGTTTTTGGCACTGCATTCCAACAAGACCAGGCTGGATGGGGCTCTGCAACATGTCCTAGTGGAAGCTGTCCCTGCCCATGGCAGGAGCGTTGGAAGTGGTTGATCTCTAAGGTGCTTTCCAACCCAAGCCATGTCATGGTTCTGTAAGTGAGTCTGTGAAGCCTTCTGCTTCATTGATTTATAATGCTAAGTAAGGTAATCCACTGTTATCAGAACAACTCAAAACCATGATTCCTCTATGGGCTGTTCTCATTGTGGCCTTGCCAGCAGATGGACTTACACCTAATAAAAGATTCAACTTCTGCCTACTCATTTTCTGTTCAAATCCTCCTTTATAATAAGACAGAAGACCATAAATTGGAATATTCTTTGCCTGCTCGAAAGGTTTCCAAAACTGGAGTACTCTTTGCCTGTTCCAAAGGTTTACAAAGGTAGAGAGCATTGCTGGGTGATTAACATCCTTTGGCCTTTTAAAATGTTTATATGATACTGATTCATGTTCTTAACTTAAAATTTTAATTTAATCTTCGCAGAACTATCTCTTATCAAGCTGAGCACGCTGGGAGACGATCCTCACTGACCTGGCGCCAACTACACGTGAATTTCAAGGCAATTGGCCTAAACTAATCAAGTTTCTCAAGAGGGCGAGAAGCTAAAATAGGAGGACATCCCTCCTTCAGGAAAGCGCTCCCCAGACCCGCCCGTTCCGCTAACCCGGCCCGGTGCCGCCGCCTCCCTCAGGGCCCACCTCCGCAGCTCCTGGATCTTGTGCCGGTACTTCCCGTAGAAGGGGTTCTCCTCCAGCGCCGCCTCTCCCGATCCCGCTGCCGCTCCCGATCCCGCTGCCGGCCCCAGCACCCCCCGTGCCGGCCGTGCCAGCACCTCCCGTGCCGGCGGTGCCAGCAGCCCGAGCGGCCGGAGCGCGGCACGGCTCCGCAGGGCCGCCCCCAGGCCCCAGCCCTGGCACAGCGGACCCGCCATGGCTCCGCTCCGCTCAGCCCGCCCCGCGCTCCGCCCTCCGCTCCGCTCAGCCCGCTCCGCTCTCCGCCCGCTCCCCTCAGCCCGGCCCTCAGCCCGCTCCGCCCTCCGCCCCGCTCCCCTCAGCCCGCTCCGCCCTCCGCTCCCCTCAGCCGCTCCGCCCTCCTCAGCCCGCTCCGCCCTCCACTCTCCACGGCCCGCCCCGCGCTCCGCTCCGCTCCGCTCCGCCCCCCAGCCCGCTCCGTCCTCCGCTCCGTCCCACCTCCCCTGTCAGGAACCGGCCGGAGCCGCACGCTGGAAAGGAGCTTTTATTGAGAGCAAAGCCGCGTTACATGCGGAGCGAACAAGCGCGGTGGGCGCGGCCCCGCTCCCGGCGCAGGTCGGTAACCGCAGGGGAAGGGGCACAGTGCTCACCCAAACCCACAGGTACAGCCCGAAAGCGAACCCAGGAATCGCGGCACAACAGCAGTCTGGCAGGGCAGAGCTCTTTTCCTGTTACAGTTCGCTCTCACAGCGTCATTGCTTTTGATTTCACTCAGATATCGCATTTTTCCTCAAGGAGTCGCTGCCCAGATCATCCAGCCGCCCCTCTGGTACCCCAGCAGCAGCTGCACGAGTTAGGGCAGGGAGGGGATCCGTGTTCCCTTACTAAACACTCGTTTAGTAAACAAACGAGTGTTTATTTACTACACTCACGGCTTTTCATCTGCACTGTGAGTAAACACGGGAAAGAACCCTGCCCACAGCTGGCATCAGGGCTTTGGGAAGTGTGCGGGATGGAGAGCAGTGGCGTAGCAGAAACCGCACTGGGATGGGACCGGTGCGCCCAGGCTGCAGCACAGAACGGACCACTGTACTTAGGGATGCTCGGATTTTGTCTAATTGACAGCACAAGCCCATCCTACAAGTGACCACAGCAATTAGCCATCGACTGTGCCCTCGACATGCAAGTTAAGCAGCAGCCCTGGGCAGCTGTGTCCCAGCAGTGACCAGCTGAGCTCCCTGGGCACAGGCAGTGAACAGCAACATGAGGTCTAGCTGCCATTTTCACTACTGAAAAGCCTTCTAAAAATAAAGCAGACTGCAACAAAACAAAAGACTAAAAGATTCACAAGGCGGTACTATAATCTTTTAAATTTCAAGGTAAAGTTAAATTTCATACAAATAAACTTCCAAAAATATTTTGCAAACTCTGGCATATGGCTATGATACAGTATGTACAAATAAAATATCAGAATGGTTACATTTTATTGCTTTTTTTTCTTTATTTGGTTAAAGATTTATACAATAATGTATAAAAGGGTATGGGAAGTGGAAAGAAGCAAGTGTTGGCTTCTTGTCCTCTCCGAAACCAAGGTTGGTTGGTTTTGTTTTGTTTTTAAATACGGCGTTTTCAAATGTCACATCAAAAGCATTTTGGTACTGGGTGGCATCTGCATTACCCAAACAGGATAGAAGAGCAACAGTGAAAGAAGCCTAGCAAATGGGTAACAGGGCTCCAATTTGTACATTCCTTTGCTGATTCATACTTCCAAAATACAATTATTGATAAAACATCCAGTCTAAAGTTATTTATATAAAAGTCAACAATTATGAACTGACTTCCTCATAAGCTGATGTTTCAGCGAGGTGGGCAATTCCAACTCACTAATCATGCAAAAAACTCTTAACAAGATCAGTGATATTTGTGAGCAAAATCACCCAACTTGGCCCTGATCTAGCCTGTAAGAGAGAAACCCCTCTGCAAAAATATTTTTTCTATGTTCTGTGTTTAGATCCACTGCTATGAACAGATCTTTAAGTTCCTCTAGTAAGGAAACCTCACTCACAAACCATGTGTCAGTACAGAATGATGATGGGATTGCACATGCCTACACAGCTTTTTACATCTTTCTGTTGGCAAGGAGACAAAAAATAAAGGTACCAAGAAGGGATCACAATAGCCAGGAAAGAGCTCACAAATGTTCTCTGGGCCCTCCACCCGCTCACACTCCTGGAGTGTACCAGAGCACCGCCGAGATATGAACTGCTCAGGTGCTGCTCAGCAGGCTGCACTCTAGGCTTTTACCTCTTAAGCATCTATTAAAGCTCTTAAATATGTTCATTTAAAAAAAATAAATAGACAGGCTCAACTCACAAAATATAATCTGAATGCAACACAGCAAAGCCTAAACAACGCTGAAGTGAAAACTCGAAGCACTCGGCAAGTTAATTGCTCCTGGAGGCTCATGATATAAAAACACTTTCAACTCTTCCCTTCAAAAATACATCCTGCTATAGATGGGCATGACTTACCCCTCCTGCTCTCCTCTGATTGAGGCCAAATTTATTCACGGATATAGTTAGTAAAAATCAGAAATTTAGCTGAATCTCTTGAACCTCATTCCAGGCTCAGTCTCTCATTATAAACAGCTTACTACCAACACAGCCCCTGACACAACTTGTCCTTAAATATGCATAATTTACTCTATCTCAAATATTTACAAGCAGAAGCAGCCCATCTTCACAAGACAGATTTTCCTTCTGCTCTACATAAAGTGCAGCTCTCTAATTTAAGGCAAATTTCAGTGAAATATAAAACCATAGTTTTATTTTAGTATGTACACATTTTAAATTATAAGCAATAACTCCCTTGAAAAGGAAATAGAGAGGAAAATGTTTCCAAGTTTGGGAATTTTCTGGATTTTAAAGTCCCAATATTATGTCCTACTGACATATAAATTTGTAAATTTCTTTTCAATAAATGCAACTGAAAAAAAAGAGGTGGCAATGTGTACAGTAATTTAGCTCCAAAGATCAGTAAAACACTGGGAAAGTGCAGCCATAGTTTTTCATGTCCTGTAGCTTCCTTTAGCTACAGTAACATCCACCAATATCACATTTCTAAACATATACCCTATACACCTAATGCTAATCTCAGTTCTTTTAGCGTGTATTTCTCATCTCCATCTATGTCAAACTCCTTAAAGCTCTGTGATTCTTGGGCTGTGGAGCCAAACAGCTTTTGAAGGTCTTTGTAAGAGAGTTTTCCATCAGCATCCACAGGTGCTTTTTCAAACAGTTTCTGAAGATCTGCAAAGAGAACAAGGACTGAGAAACAGCTCCTCTAAGCACCCAGGAATATCCCAGAAGCTGCTTTCCCAGTTTTACAGCACTGCCTCTCGGCACCCAGTAATTACATACAGCGTCCCTGAGTGAGGAGTTTGCCTCCTATGTTGTCACAAGCTGCTGGTAACAGTTTAGGAGAAAAAAGCACGAACATTTCTGGATTAAATTACACTAAATCTGAAGAAAGTAATCCCTATTTCTGGCTACAGCTAACAGCCCATTTTACAACCACTAACTGCATACAGATGCAGTTATCCCCCACAAAAGCAAGCTCTGAATGACTGTTGCTATACCAACAGGACAGATGATATAAAGGGAAAAGTGTCTATTCACTTCCTGATGCAAAGAGTTGCCCTTTCAGGAGCTGAAGAGACTGAACAGCAAGATCCAGAAACCATTCATCTGACCAGGCAGTGTTCTCTTGGAAAAAAAAAAGAATACAGAACAGAAAAAAGCCCCAGAACATACACACTCATAGCTACTTCTTTTTCCTTCAGCATGTTAATTCTGCCCTTGACTTTTCTCCCAGTCTCTGGGGCACTCAATGCAATACTTTGGTACTCAAAACAATTATAATTCACTAATAATGCACACTCCCACTTAAATATCACTTGCTTTTCTTTTACATGCTTTTCTTTCAGTTTTTTTCTTAATTGGTTTAATAAAAAAAAAAACTTTTGTCCTCAAGCTTTTAAAATTGACCTTACACCTCCCAGAATGTTTATACTTATCCTCTCCTAAACATTTACATGAAATACTCAGAAGAAAAGGTCAGCCTAAAGAGGACATACCTTCAATGCTGGAAATTCCTGGTAAGGACAGATGGCTCAGCTGCCCATTTCTCTCTGTGTTGTCACCAGCTGACCTTGAAGCCACCCTTGAGAGGTCTGTGGGCTTTGCTGTAGTACTCTGACTACTTTCAACTGTTACAAAACAATTTATATTAGTCTCACTGATTCCACAGAACTACAGCTATCAAAACCAAAGAAAAATCCAATAAAACTGATTTTTTTTTTAATCACAGCAGCTCTATGGGATAAGAATATTTCAGAATGTAGCAATACTGTAGCTGCAATATTTCCAACTGTAGCAGTGTTGCCTCTTTTTACTCTAATTGAAAGAACAGTTTCGGAACAGTCACACAGCTTTAATCTTCCATTCTGTACTAGGAGGTGTGTATTTATAAACTCCCATACAAAAAATGACTTGGGAGTGTTTCCCCTCCCTGAGAGTGGTGAAGAAGCTTCATTAAGCAAATTACATCTGCTCACCTGGGCTGCTTCCACCTTATCAACACCAATATTCCCCAAGGTATGAGTTTCCAAGCACGTGCTTGGAATGAACAAGCAGCACAGTTCTATTGTCATGAAGTATTTAAAAATCTGATGTTCAGCAGAAGTGCAGAACTGAAGTCAGCAGAGGCAGAAACCTTTCCTCTCTGTTACACTTATATTTTGAAAAAGCAAAACCAGATGTTACTGGGTATAAAGTTCTACAGTTAATCACTGCCTGCCTTCAAACACCAGCTACTGATCCATGTGAATCCTTCCATACACATTTTAAGTCACCTTCAAACTTTTGGAATCATACACAGTTTTCTGTTTTAGCAACATTCATTTCCTACCACTTTAGCGAAAAAAGCCTTCATCAAAATCTTAAGGAACAGTCTAATTATCCACCTTAATTAGTTACTCTTTGAATTACACAGGGAATCTCCAGGTTCATGGATTACTGTTACAGGACATTCTTACCATTCTTTGATGCCTCAATAGGTCTGTCATTTTCTGACTTGATAGCACTGATCAACTGAAGAGTCTCTTTTAGTTTTGATACCTGAGGATCTCTAGTTCCTGCTTCCTGCATATGTACAAAAAAAAATAAATCTTAACATGCACCCCTTCAGAAGATGTAGAAGGCCAGAAAAGG